GGGGAGAGGCACACATCGGCCACAACGGTCACCTTGCGCGCGCACTCACCAACACGTGGGAAATGTTTCTCAGGAAAACTAAAAGAGAACAACATGGATCCAACGTAGGAGTTTGCCTCGGAGTTTGCTAACTTCACTTTAAAGTTCTTCGATAGATGATTTTTATTTATTCTTGTTTTGTCTTGGGAATATTTATTTGAGTTATGATGTTCTTGGCATGTTAACCAAGATACACCCCTGTACGCCATACATCCCCTACCCCTACCCTCTTCTCTCTCCACCACACTTGCACCGCCCACCCTTACTTTCCAAAACGGTCGCGTATGTTACTCCAGCCGCAGCACCGACACATTTCTCATACATGTAAATGCGGCCGGCCCGGGCGTATGGTCCCGTCCTGGTCCCGGCCAAGGGGCCCACAGGGTGGGGCGGGGAGGAGTGCGGAGGAGGCCGGGCAGGGACCGAGGGACCCGCCAGACAATCATCGGAGGGGCGGAAGAAAGGAGACAATTCGAGACGACCCCAGCCCCTCCTCGGCGCACACTCTGAAAATACTTTCCGGACCTTAATTTCATCTTGGTCCAGTAACAACAATAACGACGAGCTATTCCTTTCAAAAAAAGTGCGTTGGCGATAAAGAAAACGCTTTAGGAGCTTTGAAGAGGCCAAGAAGAGTTCACGCCTTTCCGGGGAAAAGCGTGGCTGCATGCAAGGAAGGAGGGCAGAGGGGGTGGGTGGTGGGAGGGTCACGCTCGGCGGCCAAGGGTCATGATTTGTCGGACAGAGACAAAGCCATGTCGAGGCAGATAGAGAGGGGCGGGCGGGTCCTCGCGGGCCCGCGACGGCACCGCCGAGGAGAAGATGACGGAGCGGGGATGAGACAGGCGTAGCCGGCGCACAGTGGCGGTGGGACCGGCGGGCGGCCCGAATGAAAGAGCTTGCGCGGGATTTAGGGCGGGCGACGAAGGGGAGGGACTTTAGTGCGGCGGAGCGGGGGGCGGGGGCTGGGGGAGATAGAGGGAGCGAGAGAAAGACACGTACAATGGCGACGGCAGGCGGGAGGTTCTGCTGCTCGCTACCCGCCGCCGCACCGCCGGCTCACGCAATCATTGACTTACACTCTG